ACTTCTCTGAATGCGACGCTACCGTCATCTGAATGAAGGCCGTAAAGCAACTTGTAGCCCTTCGGCACTGAGTTCCAGGAGTTTGCAGGCAACGGCTATAACGGTACCCAGTTAGCAAATACAACACAGCAAATGTTATTCTACCATCCATGTGACACGTATGGTTGTTGCTGAAGACGGCTGAGCATCGATTTCTAACGGAGGAGACTCGGGTAGATCTTGTAGGGTTTCGAATCTGCAATTCACCTTATAAACAACCGAAAAATGGAACAGCTGGAAAACTCGCTTACACATCAGAGGGCAAACTCGGTACACTCTGGCCAATTGCGTTTTCGGCGATCACTCGTAAGGAGTATTTATGGAATGGTAAGAGATTGGCAACCTAAAAACGAACAGTGATTCATAAAATAAAATAAATAAAATCATGACTGATTCATAAAATAAAATAAAATCGTTCTTAAATCAATAAGGAAGTTTACTCTGATTGAAGTAGCATTTGGAGCGCTGATATTGAACACCTCCTTCCAAATGGTGCTGTTCCCGACAATCGCTTCGACCACCCACCGGGATATTATTGTCTTGCCATTGTAGCCCGGGGCAAATTGAAGTGTCACGCTGCGCTTCGATGGATTTACAGCCATCAGATTGGTTGGCGGTCCGGGCAACTCTAGAAACCAATTGGATAGATAGAAAAGATTAAAACAATTACACTGGAAAAAGATTTACCGGGAAAGACAGGTGTTGTAACATTGATACGTTTCTTGGCGCTGACCCCAATTTGATTGGTGACAACGATTTCAAACTCATAATCGGAAGAAGACGACAGGTTCGAGATCTTGAATGAACTGACTGACGCATTGACGGAAAAAAATGTCTTAAGGCTAGAGTTCGATATTGGCCAATAACTTATAAGATATGCTAAAACAAAATGAGATCGTATTAGCAAATCAACAGCTCAAGGGTCCACAGTATCTTTGTTACAAGGAATAAAATTGCGCAGCTAAAATTACCTGTCGCAAGACGTACATTTGAACAATTCCATAGTTATCTTTTTATAGCAGAATAGCATCTGCCACTGAGTACCAGGTCATTTTAAAATCAAAGTTGCTTAAAATAATCTTGGTCAATAAATGTAACTCCAATTTCAACACCACTTAAACAATATTGAGATTTATGCACATATATAACAACGCGTAAACAGTCAAGAACTCATTTATCAAATTAGCAACCGACTTTTCCAAAGCCAGATGAATAACTCACCCAGCCTCGCCTAGGAAGCTTCGACGCACTAACCACCATTTAGAAAATTTTATTGCAATATTCACATAGTACTGAAATTATTACTGAAAAATAGAGTAAGTCGGTATTCATTATTCTACAAGCGGTTTCGGCGCATTTTTTGAGGTTCTTTCAAAGACAACCAATCAGCGGAACTAACAGATGCCGCCATCCATAAGGATTATAAAGTATTTCAAAAAGATATATCTTAGGGCGACAGTAATTAAAATATTCAATAAAAACCAAGTAATAAATAATGTCATTCAATACGGAAGCAAAAATTCCCCGTTGTTAGCAGAATTCCGAATAAAGAATATTTCAATGCAGGCTTGGAAAATGAACGCAATGGCGTCTCATCATCATTTGGAAAGTCCTACCACAATTCTGAATAATCCTGTTTCAAGGTTGGGTTGTTTCAGCCTACTGCACTGCTGGGAGCCATTTTGTTTCAAGAAACTGAGCTGATCTTCTAACTCGCAGGTAAACTTATCAGCTTTACACTTGACCTTTTCTACAGTAAATAAAGTGCTATGCAGGGAATGCAAAGTGATGACTTGTGCGCATACTTTAACATCTGTTCGAAAATCGGACGCACTGCTACATTTTTTAGAAAAATGGACCCCTTGATTGTCTACTGAACGCTTTTGTGGTCATTGCAATATTTCGCTGCATATCTTGATTACATAAAAAATAAATGCTACTTCGCATATTTTTCCGACTTCTTTTTAATTCCGTAAAACACACTTGTAGCTGACACATGTTTCTGAAATATTTTCCCTTTATACTCTCAGCTGGGTAAACGAGTACAGCATTTTGTGAAAAACAACAGAAGGGTTTATATTGTAGCTAGTGACCTTTCAGATGTACATGAATTAAAAAAAGGCTCTGCTGACTGACACTGTCGAACAAGGATCTGTATTGCCCCATAAGTTACAGAAAGGATAGTGCCAGAAAATGGCAATAAGTTACAGGATCGTGAAAATGACATCTCAACGTGACCACAAACCTCAAATTTCTATTTCCTTTTACTTGGAGGAGAAGAACGCATGCCTTGAATTGTTTCAGTCACTACGTTTAAAGT